AGGTCGATTTGATGTAGTTTACGATGAATCAGGTTTAGGGTTTGACTGGTCTAGGCTGCTCATATAATCAATAATTAGTGTGGCAGGACGGGGTTAAATTACTGGGACGGGGACCCACTGTTTTGTATTTAACATTATAGAAAATTAAAAGAAGTGCATTATATATTTATGCATATATTTACACACTTTTAATTTTTTTATCATATCAGAAATATCTATAGTACCTATCTGTTTATATTTTTGCAGTTAATCAAAAAGCCTTTTTTATATGTTTCAGGACAAATTGCTTTTATCACAGTAACGGCTACATCTCAGTTCAGTGGTTTATCGTCTTTGTGGGTTAGGGTCCAAATAATAAATCATTTTTTACTTAATTATTCAATTATCTCTCAATTTTAGCATTAGAAAACATGCATGCTTAATAAAAGATGATAATGAAATGGAAAATTTGAAATGGTGAGAGAATTCATCTCCGAGGACAGAGACTGTACGTGGGAATGATTTGCAGTTGTACCAGATGATTGAACCTGCCCTGCAGCATCTGGGGGCCATAACGTTTCTTTTAATAGCCATTTGTGCCGGAGTAATGTCTCTGTAATATTGTAATAATGTTGTTGCCGGGTGGGCTGGCAGTAAAGCGCCTGTATGTGGCTCCACACAGCCAATGCCAAGGCTGTGGATCCCACAGCAGCAGTGAAGAGTGTGATACTCAGGGTCACATTAGACGGTCGCTTCCTTCAGAACATTTCACATGTTTTACATTTCGTGCCGATTCGCCCACAGTGACTCTGTTTATATGTGTGCTGTAATGAGAGTGACAGCAGGGACCGTGTGTGGGCAGAACAAGAGACGCAGAGCAGGGAGAGGACAGAGCAGAGGTGTGGTTGTTGGTGCTAACGCCAGCAGCTGGATGACAAATGGAGAGAAAATAAGGGAGAGGTGAAGGGAAGAAAATGATGAAAACATCAGAAAGAGATGAAGCCGAGCCTTAAAGACGCAGAGGGAAGGAGGAGGAGGTGGAGGAGATACTAATGATCGGAGCTGTCACTGATGGATTGGAAGAGGAAGTCAATTTGCAGACTGTGTCTCTGAGGCTGGGACAGAAGGAACAGCTCTGTTGAAGCCAGGTTGCAGATCTGACTGGTTGGAACCAGCCAGCTGGAGTGAAGTGGAGGCCCAGAATGGCCGTCATCTCTGTCTCATTATATTCTCAACATATAAAAAACACCTTACCCAGCATGTCTAAAACTGTGTTTGTTTTACTGTTGAAGTGCACAGGATGTCACCCAGGGATCGTTTTTCACTTTTACGACTGGGATCCGTGGGGAGTGAACTTATTACAATAGCCATTACAGAGGAAAAAGGAATTTGTTCTCCGGGGTAATAAAGTTGCAATTTCATATTTTGCACCAAGGAAAAATGTGTTTTGATTATGGGTATAAACGTAATATCTCGGAGGGTTCACATTAAAAAGTTACAACTCTGATTTAATTCACAGCAAGTGCTCATTTTACAAAGTGAAGAAATAAACATTCAGACGGCCATAAAAAACTAAAAACAAATCGTGGCGCATTGGCCGTAAATCACAAATCTCAGAGCAGCAGTCAGTCAGTTGATGTTGTTCCCTCGGCCTTTATGTCAGTTTAAAGTCAAACCTATCAACCCTGTATTAACTGTGTACCAGAACATGTACTAGAGGCAGCAGGAAAACAGTCCCAGTCCATCACTGTCAACGTCTGACACTCAGATCATCATGTATCGTCATGTCTTTAAGACCAAATCAGTTAGCCAACATTTGGTTAACTGATGCTGCTGCGTCAGACAAAGCACTTTTTAAATAAAATATAGGACCAAATTTTAATCAATACGTCAACATCAGCCAGAAAACCACAGGTGGGTCATTGATCCTAAAAATAATGCTTAGCAGAGCGGAGGACAGGCTGTGCACCAGAGCTTGACACCCTCTAAACAAGAAGCTCTGCTGACGTGCTCCATAAGCACTTAACCCAAATTACCTGCTCCACTGATTTGTTTCAACCTTCAGTTGTCAAGGGGGAGGGGGGCAGAAAAAGGCTTGTGGGGTCCTGACATATCTACAGCACTTAATGAGGGTGTCGCCTCCCCAACCAAAGCCCCCCCCGCCCCCCACCCCTCCCTTTTGTCAGTAGGAATGGAGTGGTCCACTAATTATACATTAAAGTGTGCTCCACCTTGCCTTGGTGGCTTCCTGCCATTAGGCTGAGAACAGCCCCCTGGTGGCAATCTGATGTCGGTGCTAACTCCCACTGGGACCTGTCCACATTGTTGGCTCACAGCCTCACTGCCTGTCAGGTTCCATCAGAAGGACGTTAACGTAATCATCAGCTGTGACTTAACGACTCAGTGCTTCCTCCTGATTGGTCCACAGTCATTTTATTTGAGTGGCGTCGCTCCCTCTTATGGACCTTTTTTTTTTCCATCTTTTCAACCAGACTCCGCCTTTTTCTCTATCCCTGCTCAGCCGTACCTTTCCCTCTACATTTGTTAACACTCCCTCATCAGAGCGTGCTCACGCCCACTCCTCACGTCCTCCTCAGGGAGGGTGAGTTAACAAGGCCAACAGAGAATAGAGAGCGCTGCATCAGAGACTTCATCACATTACTGTGGCGTCTGCCGGTCTGCGGACCAGAAAGTGTGCACAGTCTGAGGGTGTTGGGGAAATGACGTCATACAAGAGCAAGAACTGAGCAGAGCTATGTTTGTGGTTTGGAGAAAATAAAACGTGGAGCAGCCGAGCTAACGTGGAGGCTAAGGACTGACACCAGGGCTGACGTACATGTGATTTTGATGGCCCTCCGCTCAGCGCAGAGCTGAGGTGGAGTACTGTATATGTTCATGATGATCAGGGATCAGGGATCAGAGAGAGTAAAGGATTTGGACTGATCTCCAGTGAAGCCTGCAGGAACATTTTTCCAGTTTTTTCCTTTGCTCCTCCATCCTCCAACAGTGAGGCCCTCGGAGCCCCCCAGGCCCCGTGGGCTCTGGGTGATGGATGCTGCTGTACTGTAACAGTTGAGGCTGCGCACTCTGATACTGTGCAGAAGCAGAATATGTTCTACGGTGCAGTGTGATGCAGATATTTTCCTGCTGTTCTGTTCTGTTCTGTTCTGCTGCACCGACCTGGGTTTCACATTACAACCAAGGTAACAAATAAGACAAATCAAGGTTAGACATGGATGGTTGATGTGCTCCTCTGTGCCCAGCCTGGAGCGCTGTGTCCTGAGCAGCCTGCCAAATGCAGTCGGCGTGACTGATGCCCACTTGGCTTCAGTCTTATTACCTCTTTGGAGCAGAAATGGGCCACAGAAAGGACACTCGTATATTTCTGTTCTGTGCTGATAAGCTGAGCCCTCAGCCATTAGCCCAGTGTACCTGGCTGAGTCCGAATACTACAGTATCTCCTCCATCTTAACACGGATTTATTGTAGTTTACAAGCCATCGTTAAAATGACGTTTTTATGCTAAGTCACGACTCGGTTATTTGTTGTTTTTGGTCTTCAGTACCTGTTCATTAGAGGAAAAAGTCAAATTTAAAGATGACAGTCACTCAGAGTTAATCAATCCAATCATGTCGTGTCATGTCGACAGAATCAACAACAGAAACACTGGTTTATTTTCTAAAATGTTGTAAATACCTGTATCCATATTCCTTTACGTTTTTTCCTTCTAAGAGATTATGAATAGTCAATCCACAACAAAACATAGTTCCAACGTTAAAGTGATCAGATTAGATTAGATTGAACTTGAATTGATCCCACACGAGGGAATCGGGGGTAAAACAAAAAAGTAATAAAACAAATTTGGTGCAAAATATTATACAATTATTTAAGTAAACGTATAAAAATACTAAATGTACTAGACAGTCTGAGAAAAAATTTTACAGAATCAGGATAGATTGGTAAATCCATCCAAATATTCTATATTTCTTTCCCTTCTTTTTGACTTAGCCAGGAAATGGCTGAAAGATAAAATGGTGATGGTCTGGCTGCATCAATAATTAATAGTCTGAAATGAAATGCATCACTAATAAGACGTGGGATGGGGTGGGGAAGGGGGGAGGAGATGAGGGATTCTCAGGGGACAACAGCATCTTAGCTGGACGTGGAGGGAGGGGTGGAGGGGGTGAAGCCAAGAGAAAGGACACATCCATATCAGCTGGGATCAAACAAAGGCCAGAGGACCTGCACAGACACTCATCCTTCTGATGAGGGTTTTGTTGTTGATCTAAAGGAGAGTAAAGCTGGTTGGTGATGTTTCCTCTGAACTCTGACTAAAACGCAGCCTCATTTCCTCCTCTTTCTGCTCAGCCTACAAGGAGAAGATGAAGGAGATCTCCGTCCTGTCACTCATCTGCTCCTGTCTGTACCCCGAGGCCCGCAAAAACATCATGGGTGAATTTGAAGGTTGGTGAAAACATCCACGTTGGCCACACATTCGATCTCAGATTTTATAAAATTTGACCTGGATTTTATATATAGATAGAATTATAGATAGAACAGAAGAGTTCTTAAAATAAAGTCTGATTTTAAATGAAGGAAAGTGGCTAGAAATTTGACTTTGAGTTTTTTCAATTATAATAGCGATGTGAGGGTTTTAAATTTTGAGATCACACTTAAGTATTTGACCTTTTTCAGAATAATCACAGTCTTAAAATCAAAGTCAAAAGTCCAAGGTGTCAGGACGACCCTAACACCTAAATCTTTGGTGGCTGTTACAGACATGGATATCAAACCCATCAACAAAAGAGCCTCAGGTCAGGCCTTTGAGGTCATCCTGAAGCCGCCGTCCCCCGTGTCCGAGGTGTCCCACTGCATCACCAGCCCACCCAAGAGGGACATTTCCCTGGAGGACATCCAGAAGAAGCTGGAGGCAGCTGAGGACCGGAGGAGAGTAAGGATGTTTTCAATCATCTTCATCATCATCATCATCAGTGCAGCCACCGATCACTTAGTTTTATTAAAGGCCACACCAGCTGTACATAATAAAATACCTTCACCGTCTTCTACTCCTGGTGTGATTGACGCCTCTTGACGTCTTTTATAACGCCTGCTTTGTTCTGGTTAATGGTGCATCACAGCGACCGCACCAGCTGCTGTGAAAAATGTCATGTCACACCGGCTAATTCCTGCACATCATTGATCTGCTCGTCAATACAGTTGGTGACAAATCCAGCTGACAAATCCAGATACCCACCAACAAATCAATCACCTGATCAATAAGGCACTTTGATGCCAGATGTCCAGTATTGTGGCTCAGACACACATGAGCGCTACACCTTTCTGCACATGACGATAGATGTTAGATGAAGTTTGTTAATCTGTAAATCTGTTAATCTGGACTCAGTCAAAAGGTCAGAATCCAGACATAAAGTTGTATCTGTGTCGTGCTCACAGTCCCAGGAGGCCGGGATTCTCAGGATCCTGGCTGAGAAACGGGAGCACGAGCGCGACGTGCTGCTGAAGGCCATGGAGAACCACAGCAACTACAGCCGCTTGGCCGAGGAGAAGCTCCAGATGAAGATGGAGCAGAACGAGGAGAACCGGATGGCTTACCTGGCCGCCCTGATGGAGCGTCTCCAGGAGAGGGTGAGGAGCAGGGACTGAAGTCACGCTGAGGGTTTAGTGCTGTTTCACTCCAGTGTTAGGGTGGTGTATCACTCCAGTGTCAGGGTGGTCTTAAAGCCAAAGGTCACTGAAAACCTTCCAGTTTTTACAGACAGCTAGCAGCTAGCCACTGTTTTCTTGATGAACAGCATAGTGATGTCCGTTTAATATGTAGGGTCTGGGTTGACAAAGTTTCGTTGCCATGGCAACCTGGTACAAATGAGGCAATTGTTGAAAGATGACAGAGAGGGAGGGGTAAAGAGTCATGGATTAAAGGTAAAAAAAGGAAGAATATTCTAGGGAACAAGAAACAATAGACAGAGAGAAAACTAGCCCTGATGTGTGTGTGTTTGTCTTTCCTCCAGGAGAAGCACGCTCAGGAGGTGCGCAGGAACAAGGAGTTGAGAGAAGAGTTGACAGCATGAGAAACACGACCCTCCTAAACCCCCCCTCCCACCCCTGACCCTGAGGAACACCGACACCCCCCCTCCCTCTCCGCCAACCTATCCCATGATTCCCCTCTTTCCTCCGTCTCCTTCCATTCTTGTCATAATACTATGAATTTACCACAGCCTGAGAATTTACCACCAGAGAAATTGGAAGGTCCAAAGGTGTTGGGGGTGTAAAAAAAAACAACGACAAAAAAAGGCAAAAATTCATTAAAAAAAGGAAAATTAATGTTTCCACCCACTCCTCAAAAAAGAATGTTTTTGCTCTGTTTAAATAACAAACCGTGATCAGATTGACCAGTGATGACAGTGGGTATTGGTTTCTGTAAATACTTCTTTTTTTGTTATATACAGTATGATACAAGCAGCAGAAGTATTGATTGCAGTGTGCCATTTTTATATGAGTTCCTTCTCTCTGCGTATTCTGTGTATGGATGTAATGAGTTTTCATTTCCATGTTTCTTTTTATTTGTTTTGTTTTTTGGTCCATTTCAGCCTGAGAATGTTTTTTTTTTTTTTTTCTGTTTTCTCTCGTGTGGTGACAGGCTTGTAGATGTTTGTTGTGAGTTCGACAGCTAGTTGATGTCTGCTGCGGCCGGTGCCGTCTTCACCAGGCCTCACATCCTGCCTCCTTTCCCTTAGTCCCATCTGGACCACAAATCTAGGTACCTAGATCTGAGGTACCTAGATCGGCTCTGTTCCAGTCACTACTAAAATAAAGGAGACAGTTTGTGTTTCTGTGAGGACTGTAATCTGCCGCTGCACATCCACTCCTGTGAGGTAGATGGCGACTGCGCAACAGGAGAACACTATAGCATTTAAACCCCGTCCTCATCCTCTTTACCTCCATCCCTCCACATACATGTATCTGTACTGTAGAAGCACTCACTCACACGCTTTCCAAATGGGCAAGGGATTCAACCAATCACAGCACAGTGACATTAACTGTTCATACATCACCAAAAAGGACAAGAATAGCATCACTGACCAATAGCAGCCCTCCTATTATCTCCGGCTAGCAAGCTTCCAATCACATTTACAGTAATAGACAATACAGCAGAAGTTAAATGCATCATAGAAACACAAAGAGTAAAAAAAAAACAAAAAATTCACCTCAGATCAGACTTGTTACTGTGAATATTCTACTAAATACAACTAGAGTAGTGCTCGGCATCATCAGAACCTTCTGGAATCATCACACTTCACTCCAAGACACTGTAAAAGCCACTGAACTACGGACACAGATAGACGTCTAAGCCATAACCGGTATGACTGCAGCCACGGACGGACATGAAGGTGTACACGAGTGTAGGACAGAGTCAGACTGACTCAAAGGACGGTCAGGAAGGACACTAGTAGAGAGAAAGTAAGCATGGTAGGCCCACAGGTGTGTGTGAGTGTGTGTGTGTGTGTGTGTGTGAAAAGGCAGGTCGATGCTGTATTGAATGTTTGATCAGATCAAGTCTAAACCAACAGTGTCACAGTGTGTTACAGCTGTTCACTACAAACAGTGACTCTTGTACCTGCCCCTCCCACTTCCTACCCCCCCCCCCGCCCCCCCCCCCCCCCCCATTTCGGGGTTTCCCCCCCTCTCCTTCTCTCCACATACTGTATATCTTTGTGAGCAAGCAGTGGTTAATAAAGATTTGGGTTCAGTGAATGAAACGGCGTGAGAGAGTCGATTATTTCACATCGTCCACCACAGTCTCCAGGAAACTGAGTTAACGCTGCTAAATCTTCACAAACATGAAGACAACTGTGACACACACTCAACTGTTCTAATAAGGACCCAAACCTTTATGAAAGAAATCTGTCCCATGTTGGCCTCACAGCTTGGAGTGTGGGGGGAGGCGGGGGGAGTGAAGATGACCTGTTATGTCAACTGAAAAGAGGACAAAAATTATATTAGAAATATTTTAGTTTTTCTCCTGAAATCTAAGTCTAAGTGTAACCTGATAAACTGAACTGACAGGTTTGATGCAACATATTCTAAATTAGTTGGTCCGGGGATAAGTTGATGACTGGGTCGCATCACTGTGTGTTTTAATTATACTTATTAACCCTTGGGGGAACCGAGGACACAGAATGAGACTGTGTGAAGCATATTCTTTAACACTGTCTTGCTGTTTAAAATACCTGACCTGTCACAGTTTTATTTTAAAGAATCATTTTCAGGGGAACATATGTTTACTATAAGTTCAAGTCAGCAAAACATCAGATATTCTTAGTGAATTCTTAGCACATGTAACATGTAAGCTGTTTCTGAGTTAAGGTTTAGTTATCATTATAAGCGCTTGGAGCCACTGTAACAACTGCTTTAACTACATGGTGTCGTTTGTCTTAGTTGGACCTATTTTACTGAGATATTGAGATTTAATTAATACATGTTTTAAATGGGAAACAATACCAAAAAAAACGCAGTGAAGCTCAAAGGTTCTACTTAGTTCCGGTTTTTAAATGTTTTCCATCGTCATCTATGTAGCTGTAAAAGAACAGTAGGACCCATTTTGTGAGTTCTCAGCCGTGTAAGAATTATGTAAAGTGAAGTACAATTATTTGCAGAGAATTCGGACTGACCAGCGTCAACGTTTATGTACCAAAAATGTACAAAAATGGCCAGTAGGTGAAGCCATTAGACCAGTTATCCTCCCTCAAAAGTCATTGTTGTTGTGCTTTTGGAACTCCAGATTATTTGGCACCGACAGCAGGTGGCAGCGTTTCTCTTTACATTTTCTTTTCCAGAAGCTCCTTGCACTGTGTCACTGATTCTCGGAGGTGGTTGGCGGTGGAACAGATAGATGTTCTGGTGAAATATGGCTCTGGTGTATATAACTATACATTTGCTACTACAAGCATGTGCTACTACCTAAAATAACGGAGAACGGTAGGCAAGAAATTTTAAGAAATAAAAAAAGCTAAAAAAAAAAAAAAAAAGCTAAACCTTAACTCATCCACACCATAAAGAAGCTAAATGTAAGCTATGTATTAGTTGATAAGTTGATATGCTAGGATAGCTATAGCTAGCTATAGCGATATATAGCTAGATAGAAGTTATAGCTGTAGCCAATAAGTTACAATTAATTACTATTAATACTTGTACTATTAAATTGTAGTAATTTAAGGTGTATTTCTGGGTCACTTTAAGTTAGGTTTTTATATTTTATTTACTGTCCAGCATTTAGCTTCATTCATTCATTTCATTTTAGTTTATTCATTTGGACAATAAACAATTTACCAATTAATGTGTCATGGTTGACCCAACAGGAGGACACTTTAAACTACGTATCTTAAGGTTAATATTTCAAATTGAACACAGCAAAATAAATATATTTTATTCATTATTATATATACATTTTTTCAAACCACTACAGAACCGCTCACACGTTTTTACACAACAGCTTCTTTGACGTGGGCTCCCAGACCGAGTCCAAATGAAAGAATGCATCAGAAACACAGTGTTATTGACGTGTTTGTCACGCTGCTGCTCTGTGGTACACTCTGTGCTTTAACGTCTAAACTGTGTACAACCCCTCTGCTTATTATGGTCTGTTTATTTCTTCATGGGCATGAGTGCTGCCGGCTGTTTCAGCATGTTTGTACACACACACACACAGAAGCAGCCATCAAACACTGACCTTGTGGGCAGCCGCACACTGCCCTATTCTTTCCCTCGTGTGTGTCCGTGTGTGTGTGTGTTGAAGTACACCAGCCTCCTTCCCATTCACAGGCCTTTTGTGTGGGTGTCTGTCAGCGGTGTTGTCTGCAGGCAGGCCCCCATTGTGTTGAACCACTGTTCCTTATTGACACAGGGCCCCTGGCACTTGGTGTTCCCATGGCCCCCCGGCCGTAGCGGACGGAAGGCTGAAACCGGAGCCCCGGACCTGGGGAGAGTTTGTTTGCGCTCCCTTTTCTCTCCCCTGGTGCCTACGCATGGGGTTTGTGTCCAAAGGGACGGGGCTAAACGGATGGTGGCGTCTTGTAAGTGTGTGTGTGTGTTTGATTGTGTGTGTGTGTGTTCTGAAACTGCACTGGTTCCATTGCTGTCGTCTTTAACGGCCTGTTGCTTGGCACTGTGAGGTCAAAGGCAGAGCAAACATTAATGAAGAAGATTATACTCTGAAGGCTATTATCTCCTCTCTGACCTGCTGTGACCTTCTGCTGGTGTTGAGACAAATATTGTTCCCCTGTGAAAAGTGATCCCTGCAGGAGGGCTTTAATACTGCACCGCTGCACATGTGCTGCGTTTATACTGCTGCTATATAACCTGCTGCTGTCTTGCATCTCCTGCAACATCTACCATACTTTATTGAAGAGAAACAGAGTAATAATAGTATATATATATATCTTCAAAGGGTCGTACCTACACACGTCATTATTTTTAGATCATTTTTGTAGATGGTTTTCAAGAGGAATTTTCTCCTTTCTGCTACATTTCAACTTTATGAAATGTTGTAGCAATCTCTCAGCATACTGTAGGCTAAGACAAGCTAATGTTTCAGTTGTGTTTTTCATCTTTAAAACAGTTTTGATTGTCTTTTATCTCTTAGGGTAACTTCTATCAACCTTTTGCTGCATTTATTTATCTCAGTTTTTCAAATTTAAAAAGCATTAACTTATTTATTAATTTGTTAAAGTTGTTAAAAACTTTAGTGCGTTCGTGCATCTACAGTGACCGTTGTAGTGACCAAGGGCCACTGTTTGTCTACATCTATACTTCCTGTCAGGTGTGTAATGTCAATAAGATATCTTTTTAAACGGACTGTTTGTACTGTTGTGTCAGGTCCTTTTGAGCGATACTGTGGTGAGGGTCGGTGGACATCTGCAGACAAAGGGGGAAAAAATGTAATAATTGCGGACACCACTTTGTTGGACAACCGTGTGGGAAAAGTGGACATGCCGGGATTTGCACCGTGTACCTGGTTAGTGCAATAATTTACTTAACAAAGTCCATAAATTGATCATTTATTGATTAATTGATGGGGATGAGGTTGTGAATTGGTATATATATGTTAGCTTTTTAAGCTTCCACCAATGGTGGAAAACAATGATCTTTTTTGGGGTTATATTACAGTCTATTTATTTTTAAGTTCTGTGGCCATCATGGCCATGGACTGGGTGGTCACTGGTCACATGATTTTCTCAGCATCATCAGCGGAAATGTAGAAATGAAAGGGTGGTTAAACACACACACACACACACACACAAACACTTTTTATTCACTTATATAACTTCCTGTTAACATGACCAGTTTTATACAAGTTGTGATCACGCTGCTCTCCTACGACGTCTCATGACTGTGTTTGTTTATATGCATCCGTCAGCGTGTGTGTGCCTGTGTGTGTATGAGAATGTGAACACATACCACATCATCTCAGCGTGTGTCCCAGCACAGCCACGGTGTCAAGAAATGACACTGAGGATGTGTATACCAGACACAAGCACACACACACACACACACATTTTTCTGTTTGTGAGTGTGTGTGTCTGAAGGAAGGTGCTGGTTCCCACAGCTCAGATCTAATTCAGCTGTAATTCAATCTCCGTGTGAGTGCCGCTCCTCCACGGCTCTCCTCTCCCTCTGGAGTACGTATGAGTTTATATACGTGTGTGTGTGTGTGTGTGTGTGTGTGGTTGGGAGACATTTCCCCTCCTAGACCCCTAAGGATCAGTTTACTGTGTCAACGCCAGGAGCTTGACGACAGCAGCCATATTCACACACAAAGACACACACACACAGCACACATCAGCCAAGATGTCCTGTATCTACCATTCAGGTGTTGTGTGTTGTTAGTCACTTGTTTATTTGTTTGTTATTTGGGTGAAAGGAAATTGACTGAGATTGATTGAGAAAAATGACTGTGACATAATCAACATCATGAAAAATAAAAATGACTGTGACATAATCAACATCAGTAAATCATTGAACTAAGTTCATTAAAAAATTACATTAGCAACAAAGAAATATCAAAGTAATGTGTCAGCAGTCGCAGTAGAGAGTAGTAATGAGTAGTAGCACCAAGAAATCTTCATTTTCTGCCTGAATAAAAGTCTCTAACCGATGGGTTCCAAAAAAACAAAATTGAAAAAGTAACATATTTGTTCCTCGTTCATTTAGGAATTCTTAACGATACTGTTGTTTAGAGTTAAAATGATGTGTTTTAAATTTCTGCATTGCAAAACTGAGTTGAGGGATTGGTGAACGGGAAAACAAGAGGAAGAAGTGTAAGTAACCTAAAGACAGACCAAAGTGACGTGTGATGTGTTTGTTTTAGGCCTGACCGTGGAGAGACGGAGGTGAGACACCAGGAGACAAGGAGAGAGTGGGAGCGAGTGAAGGATGGAGGGGAGGAGGCTTCAGACTGAAAACAAACCCCAACAGATGTGAGTGAGGGAGTGTGGGAGACCAGTGTGTGAGAGTGTGTCTGTGTTTGTGTACGGGACAACAACATTACGAGGGAATTAGTCAAGCAAGTGGGACACGAGTGTGTGTGTGTGTGTGTGTGTGTGTGTGTGCACGCCCATTGTTTCTCAGCATGTCAATTCAAGAGCCCATTGAGTTTCCATATTCAGGTGTTTACTCAGTCACTGGCTCCACATTCAGCTTGATCTAATTGTTCTGTTCACCCGCATGTGTTTACTGTGGACCAACTGAAAAGCATGTGTAAGGTCAGGAAGGAGTGTGTGTGTGGGCCTGTGTGTACAGTGGTCATGAGGCCCAAAGGCCTTGTGGTCAAGCTAAAGGATAGTGAAACCTTTAGCCACAGTAGTGCACAAAGCCAGAGCTGGGAAACACACACATTTTGTTTTTCTCTCCCCTTTTCACTGTCTGAGTAGCTTCACTTATTTAAATCAAAACTGTGAAGTAGGAGGCCCAGGGATTTCAACTATGTTTATAGCTCCCCCTATAGGAAAGTGTGGAAGCTACACGTTGTGTATTTACAAATACTATCCCACACTTTCTACCACACGAGGCAGCGGTCCAACCAGCGGCTGTTGTGTTTTCTAAGGTGAAAAACTCATTTTAAATTTTGGATCTTGGTATAGAACTGTGGTTCTCAAACTACGGTACACGGGCCTCTGGAAATTTTGCATGGTTTACCTGAGGTTACTTGTCCATATAAATAGACTTTCTAAAATATCTGTACCTCCTGCTGTGTGTGTGTGTGTGTGTGTGTGTGAAGGAAGGCTCTTGGGGACTTGGTTACCATACTACTGTGGCTAAAGGTTTCCACTATTGTTTATCAGGCCCACACGCTCTCTTTAAAGCATTACATAACACACTCTCACAATAGAAGTGGCTCAGTCAAGCAGACATCCAGACATCTTGGCTCTTGTGATTGTTAGGAACTTACCGTAAAGGTGCGTTCTGTTTCCCCTTTTCCTGGTCATGTTCCCAGGTCACTTCCTGGAAGTGCCAGTAGGAATAACGCTGCTCATCAGCTCAGAGAAAAAGTCAGAGATAAATTGATGCTGAGGTTTTTACTGTCTTATTTTCATGTCAACTGCTCACACACCACAGTGGTTTGTAGTTGTGTGAGGACTGCTCTACATACATGGAGTTTCTGACTTTGGCCAATGGAGCGATGGCAGGTCCTCTCACTGGACGATGACACTCGGTCTCCTTGTCTACTGGGCTGTCTCGTCAACAGCATCAGTTCCTGTTAGTTCATTAGTTCCTGTTCCGCCGCTTGATTGGTGCTTAATCAGGACCTTAGTAGCAGTGGTTACGAGTGAAGATGTGCCCTCTTGTGGCCATAGATGAAATGCAGCGTATTAATTCTAAACTTCTAAAGAAGGCATGTTTTATATTCCTGAAAACATGGTGGTTATACGTTAAGGCTCAGAAATAAGATATGTTTTTGTGGTCAGGTTTGAGTGAAAACATGTTTCCTCTGCCATTTAATTCAGTGGAGTGTCCCTACAAGAATACCATTGGAAACTTGTGTGTTCTTGCCTCAGTGCGTGTGTGTGAGTCATTGGCCTCAGTGTTCCCTCGGTCACCAAGTCCAATGTCCAGGCCAGCGTTATCCTGCCTGGCACTGCTTCCTGATGCAGTCATTCACTATAGAGTGGCACTGACTCCATACAGAGTCGATTATTGAACAGAACAATCGAAGGCATTAAAAAGGCCGGCAGCAGGCACGCACAGGGCTGACACACACACACACACCAACAAGAACAAGAGGGCCATGTGTAAACAATACTGTGAAATCTCTGCTCCAGCTTTTTTATTCTTCTCCTCCTTTAAGTAAATCCAGAAAGTTCCAGCCTAAAGTGCTGATAGAAACATCATGTTTACTGAGACACAAACTTTACCACAACAAAATGAACGGGGGAAGAAAGCAGAAATGACTTAACGGAGAGATTCAACGACAACAAAGAGCAGCAGAAATGATGACAACCATCGCAACACGGAAAGGATTACAAAGAGACACGCTGGGAGCCCAGACTGTTTGACTAAGTCGTGTTTGTTTGTCTCAAAGTGATGATTCATCATTAGTTCCACCGCAAATGTCATTTTTTATGACTGTTTCAGTGTAGGAAGACGCTGAGTAAAAAAATCTATTTCATTTATTCTATTTGCCGATTTAAAATTTTAAAATACTTGAAGTTTACTTTAAATGTAACTGACCCTCATATGGATTGTGTTGACGCCAGCAGTGAAGCAGTGTTACTGTATGAAGAAATGTGTGAGTGGCAGAGAAGTACATGAAGGAGGTACAAGTAAAGCAAGACATTGTGTGCAGTGAGATTGACCGATGGGTTCTAGCAAAGACTTTGAGTTTGAAGAACTTCAAACCTGAGAACATATGAGGGGTTAGCCAAATGTCTAATCAGACAGACAACCAACTGCAGTACCTCTGCTGTCCCCTTAGGGGTCCTGGTCCCCTTGTTGAAGAAAATATTATCCATCAGGTCTGTATCTTTTTAGTCTTCCAAGACAAACTTTCATTGTCTCTTCTGTTTGTTAGTAACTGTTCTTTGACCTGACTGTGAACTGCAGCAGACATCACTATGAATCAGGCTGTACCTTTGGCAGTGGAAACCTGATTTATGACGTTCAACAATGACCCAGACAAACAACTGCAGTATGAAAGACGTGGACGTGGGCAGGTAGAGCTGTGTCACCTCCACAAAGATGTGCTGTTAGTTACAATAACAGAGGATAAGTCTTCAGACTGGAGCGTAATCCATGTTGACTCATGCAGATCCACCAGTGTCTGTGGATCTGAGCGGGTTCAGATGGAACCACCGTCCCCGGCTCAGTGTGTGGAGACACACGTGTCTCAGTTTGACAGTCGACAGCACTGACAGCAGGAGGATTTATGGAGCCGTGTGTTAGTCACTGACTCCTGTTTCCTTCTTCACTTTCCTTTTCCTCTGGGAGCAGCAGAGAACGAGACAAACAAGGTTTTTGTACGCGTCTGTAAGTCGACTGGTTTCTCCTCTGAAGGCCTGTGGGCTGTTCCCAGTGGCAGCTCACACACACACACAGTAAACACTTGCACACCTATAAATTTGCATGTACAAATATAGGCTGATAGCGGCCAAGTGGCTTACACACACACACGCTCCTACACGAACACACTCACACACACGTGTACAGATGCGTGCTGTGCCGCTCCTGTTTTCCCACCAGCTCAAGCTTGTGGGAAAATCCTTGCTGGTCAGTAATTGATTCCGCCCTGCCAGCTCCATTAGTTTACAACACACACACACACACACACACACACACACACACAGACACACACACACACACGTGGTGAGATAAAGGCGACTGAGCCGGGACATGCTCTCCTTCTACATGTCATGCCTCTTACTCCTTTTCAAGCTTCATATTTGTTCTCAGCCTTAGTGGAATTCTCTTGGATCTCGGTCTGTTTGTCTTTTATTCACTCAGGCTCAGAGAGCTGAAGTGTTTGAGTTGAAGAAGTCGGACCAGTTCAGTAAAGACAGAGGTCAAAATCCTTTCAGAGTAACAGGCAACTCCATATTTCTAGATGCTGATTTAAAAGGATGAGAACGTACTTTAGTAGGATTCTAGGTTTATTTGAAAAGTTCCACCCATCGGGGTGTCACCTGACAAAGTTCTTTTATTTTCTTCCTTCTCTCTCTCTCCTCTGTCTCTCTTCCTCTCTCTCTCTCTCTCTCTCTCTCTGTCTTGTGTTTAATCTCTTTTCCACAGCGTTTCCTCTGAATTGAAGTGACAGTGTTTGTTGGTTTTCTGCCACCTGCTGCACTCACACACATACTCTCTGACCTTTGCACTCTCTCCCATTAACAGCAGCACAAGCACATACACACGCACACACCATCAGCGACACACTCACTCCCACAGACGCAGTGACAAACAGCTACACAAACACACAGCTTCACAATCGCCACTTTTTCCTTATCGCCACGGCGACGACCGCTCCCTCTGATTATCACACAGCCCCGGGCCGGGCAGCACCGAGTCTGGCTTCCATTCAGCCCTTCCTATCCCTGATGAACAGCCATTTGCTGTTCGGCTCGCCCTTATCAATTGCCATCATCGGCCGTATTACCGAGACTCCTACACATCAAAGGCCTCATCAAAGGAGTCTCATCAGGGAGAACTTTCACATGAGATAAAGGTTTTATTTTGATGTTTTCAGAGGAACAACACAGATATCTGTTTTCTTTTAGCATTCATTTTCATTCCAAAATTAGTTATCTGCTGTTCAAGACATGTGACGCCCTGGTGGAGTAAAGAGGCTACTCACCAGAGGAAGGACAGAAAAAGAAAGTTTTAGATTTTGAAAGATTTCAATTTCATATCTTTAGGAGGAAAATGAACGGCAGCAGATTATAAATATCTCAATTTGTACTGTTAATGCAGCAGCCTGTGGTTAAAAATGGAATATTACAAGATTTAAGGTCAAACTAAAACAATTGGACGTCAAAGCAATTCTTAAGATTGGCTTGAAAATGAATTCTTTCAATAATAATAGTTTAAATGAGCTAACCCTTAGCTGTGCAGCAACGTGAAGTTACCTTTTAGTCTAATTTTTCTTAAATATTTTCTGATCTCACACGCAGAACTTGTATTTTTGCTAAATTGTAAACATCCTCGTCTATTTTTGTCATAATTCTAACAACTAACAACTCTGGGCTAACACTGAGTTAAATGAATGAACTTTTTTTCTGTGCCACAGCTGGAGCTGGAGCCACAGTTTGTCTTCTGTCAACACTGATTATGTTATGACTTCTTCTAAAGTTTCTCTCTTTAACCCTAAAGGATTTGACCCCCTGAAATGTTACCTTTGTTGATCCATAAGGTCTATGTACATTAAACTAAATGGATTTTTATATGGATATGTTGACATATATTCACAGCTCAGGTCAAACCCTGTTGTTGTTGTCAGTTTATCTCTGTTTGGATCATAAATGATTGAATTTGACTTGCGTGTGTGTGTGTGCGCACTGCATTAGTATAATGTGGTCACCTCATTCATTGGTGTGGTGTTTTCTGTGTCTGACAGGGTGCGTGTGATGTCTTAAGAAGGGGAGGGTAATTACGTCAATTGAACCGCCGTTATGGCAGTGTCACACACACACACACACACACACACATACACCCATGCCTCCGCTCTCCATTTGTTGGCTGTGAAATATTAATCACAGTCAGCTGTCAACCTGAGAAGGAGAGGATGCAGGACAAGAAAACACCCACAGCCGCCCCCCCCCCACACACACACACACACACATACTCCTCGGCCCCTCTCGCCTGGGCATCTGTGGCAGTGCACGTCCAGCTGTCAGAGGGATTACAGAGACTGAAGGACAATCCTGAGGTCAGCGCGTCCACTCACCCGTCATAACTAACCTAATGAGAGCTAATACATGTTTATCTCCCCACTGAACCAAAAACGCTGCTCTGTTTCCACAAAAAGCTAAAAATGTAGCAATTGTTTTTTTTTATTCTCCAGAGAATGAGTCAAGAGCCATGTTTTCTCTCCCTGCAATGAATCACGGACAGAAAGCACTGACACAAATGCAACCAGTCAATACTGATTAGATTTTCAAGCAAATCAGAGGATTTGCTTGTTTCTGCCTTTGACCACAAATCACACACTGCCATCGCACAAAAGCATACCACAGAGTTTTCAAGTCGTACATACGTTCTCCTTCGCCTGGATTCTGCTGGAACCCAAGAGTTGACATCTGGTGATAATTGTCAGAGTGGTTTGATTGATCATGCTTCAGTTGAAAAGCCAGTCATGTTGGTGTGATCAGGAGAGAGTGGAGTGCAGTCCTGGATGTAAAGTAAGGGTATGGAGTTCATGTTAGGGATACGTGTGTCGACATCAGCCTCAGTATTAGCTTCACTGTGGATTTCTTCTTCATCCGTGACTCTCTAGCAGCTAACTTTCCAAAAAGATTCTGCCTCCACCGATCTGTGCAGTTGGTTTGTTGTTTTATCGTGCTGATGGAAACCTGGTATTTTGTTTAGAATTACGGGTCAGTGGTTAGCCTGTCTGCTTGAAGATCTGCTGGTTTGATCCCTGGTCTTTCTGTATGGCGTTTGCACCTTTTACCCGTGTGTGTGTGGTTTTCCTCCAGATGCTCAGGTTTCTGCAGTTCATGTGGACGGTTCGCTCCAAGTGGAACTTTTATTTTTAATCTTATCTTTTATATATAAATACATTTCTGATAGATCAACAATTTTCCGTGGTCGACTGTTCTGCAAAGCCACTTGAAGAGCTGAGTGCGGAGGGCTGCTGAGGGCACACTCTGCTGCTCCACATGCTCGCTGTCACAGCGTGTGACATGGGAACAACCAGGGCTGTTTTAAATCACAGCCTAACCACTGGTCTGCCCAGCCGGGGGTTCCTGGATACTTGGCATTCCTTCAGTGACTCTGTCCTGTGAGAACCAAAGTCGTGGCCTTAAATATTCTCAGCTCTTAATGAAAGGATGGAACGTACTGATGTGATGCGTGCAAGTGTGACGGTGTTGGATGTTTTGCATTTTTTAGCTGAAAATAGAGCAATTTAGATACAAGTTTAAAAGATCCTGAGACAAAGAATCAGTCAGAATTTGATTCATTTAAAATAAAAATAAAACAAGTTCATTAATTAATATAAAATAAAACTTCACTCTGTGAAGTTTTGAGGTGATGACGTCGTCTGGCCCACGGTCACTGTGTCACCAGCAGGAAGATAAAAGCTCGGCCTGACTGCCACGGTTGTGGTTCCCAAGCTTTGATTGCACAATGCTGTTACTCATGATTATAGCAGAGGCCAGGAGGGATGTCACGGAGTGTGTCTGTGCGTGTGCACGCACGTGTGTGTGTGTGTGGCTGCGTGTTCCTCAGATTCAGTTTCTTTTACGTGTGTTTGTATACACATTTTCAGGAGTTTATTTCATTAATATCTAATCATCATTTAACGATGGGGGGGTGACCGGTGTCACCCCTGCTCCCCCGACAGCTGAGTGTCCCTGCTTTCCCATGCTGTCAGGGGTTAAAGGTCGCCCCGCTGCTACTGTCGCAGTTGTTACGACCCCTCACACAAGGGCTGTCCTGTGCGCCTGTACACATTAGTGATTGCAAAGGGTTGAAACAGGATAGGCAGCGACCGTGGGGGTGGTGTGTGTGTGTGTGTGTGTGTGAATGTGACACAACAATGATTTTACTGAAACCCGGTCCTGCCATGGTCCCTCATGTTTGTTAGAACATGTTCATGTGTGTCTTTGTGTGTGTCTTTGTGTGTGTGCGCAGGCCGCTGGTATCCCCAGTAACCATGAACATGGCCTTGTGAAGGTCCAGGGGCCTCCTGTTTGTTTAAACAGAATGACTTATGTTCGTGTGTGTGTGTGTGTGTTCTTTCGCTGCCGTTGCCTCTGCTCTTTGAACTGTTGTTTTCCACAATTCAAAACTTCCTCCTTTTCTTTAACATGAACATAGGCAGATGATTATTTGTTGTTTTTTTCCGTACCAGCCTCGTTCACTCTGCCACCTCTCTGCTCCCGAGGCCAAGAAAATAATTCCTTTTTCTCAAGTTTCTAAAGAATGGTCTTAACTTGAACCAGTTGAGCTTGAAATCTTCCGTTTGTGAAGAATGTTTTAAAGAAGAAGAAAAAAAAACATTTCGAGGGCATGCAGTTAGTGAAGGTGCGGGTGAGGATTATTGGCACCGTGTTTCCTGCCAGGTGGAATGTTGACACTGCATGTGATGAGTTGAAAGCTTTTCATGTTACCATCCTGCCCCGGGGCAGAAGCATTCAGACCTGCAGAGCTGTTACGTCGACAGCTCGGCCGGTGCAAGTAGGATCTTGAGTCTGAGTTGAAACCCGGTTCCTCGGATGTGCCGGTGTGGTGAAATGTGAACGCAGTCTCTTATAAACATGTACGTATGGCCGCGGGCTGCTGTGGCTCATTAAACTTAATACGCTTTATTACCTTCAGACTGAACGCCCTTTGATACAACATGAAATAAATATGTGGGTGTGGATGCTGACGGCTGCTCTCATTCCACAAGCCGACTTTTGAGAGACAGGTGGCTGTTGGCAGATAAAACCACACTGCACGTCAGATGGGTGCAACCAGGGTTGACTGTGAATGTGTTAAGGGAGCGTTACAAAGGCATTCAGGCCAAAGACCTGATGCTTGTGTGTAGAAGTGTAGCTGTAATCCCACGGTGTTTAGTTGTGATCCAGCTGGATTTAGTCTGCTGAAGCCCAGCGCTGGTGCAGGTGCTGGCTGATAAGACTGGGATTCACACAGACGATGAGAAAGTAGGAAAGAGGGGAGAGTGGGGGAGAGTGGGGGAGAGTGAGGGAGAGACTCGGACTGATGCTGAGAAAATGTACAACTCTCACCTTTAATATTTGTAAAAAGAAGTGTTTGTGGAATGACTTTTCTTTTACTTAACCCTTTGAGTTTAAGGTGGCGTTTGTTCCGAATGAACTACAGCACATAGAGTATGTCAAACTTAAGGCCAGCAGGCCAAATCCTGCCTGCCACCTCATTTGTTGTGGCCCAAAATTTAGAGTCCATACTAATGTTTACTGAACACAACAATTGTGGAATGTTCTACCTGTTCTGTTGGGATCAACCTCTGGCTCATCAGTCACAGGTTCATTTCTCATTGTTGAAGTTAGGATTAAGAACACGCTGTGGTTTTAACTACGGTGACTATTTAGTTTTTTCTAATTTATATTTACTTGGTCATGTCTACAAAGTACATTTTCAACTAATCATATGACATAGTGGCATTTTAAGCAATTCCCATTAACTTTGACATCCCTGTGTTTCACTGCATTTCCTGAAGGTGATGTGAACGGGCGACGGATGTGTCAGATTTCACCAGACACAAAAGAGATAAAATGCAAATGGTTTTACCGTCACGGACTTCCATTCACTTACTGTGTTAAAAGCACTGACATTCTCAAAGGCTAAATGTCCCGACAGAAACTGCCCCTGGGGCAGAAACCTAAAACACAGGGAGAGGTTTGAGGAACATCCACAGGTGAAGACGGGTGAGTTTATAAACCACAACACAAACTTTATAACTTGGGTTCCAGCTTCAGGCCGTCTAAAGAATTCACTTGATAATAAAATGTTTCAATAATGTTGTTTTTTAAATAAGCTTAAAATTGAAAAAAAAAAAGTACTACAGAAATTGTTGCAGATTTAATTATGCAAGATGTCAGAAATCAGAACAGGAGCCCTGCTGTAGTGCATCACTAAGACTAAGGATCAAAATCATGGCGACAAGAAATGTAGAGAGAGAAAAGACGATTGGAGGGAGATAATAGGGGATAAACAAAAAAGTGCAATCTGAGAGAAGTGAAAGGGCAATAATAGAGGAGAGGAGAGGAGAGAGGAACTCCGGGGCATCTTTCCCATCTCTGTGAGAAAGTGTAACGTCGACACTAATCCCATGTTATGACAGTGACACAGTCCATCTCTGCCTCCTTCCCACAGGTTGGAGGGATGAGTCAGACGGTGAGGAAAACAAAGCAGCAGGCAGGGACCTGCAGAGATTACACTCTCATCATGTGGAAACCAGACACTGACACCGGAGCTACTGCAGCCGTGCGCTGACAACATCCACTGTCGGCCTGCTACTGTCGGTGGGTGTGTGTGTGTGTGTGCATTGTTAAGTATTTGTTCTGTATCTGCGTCAGGTCACCAAATCCACATAATTACCTCAGGTGAAGTACCTCAGTGGAGATTTACAGAGTCAAGTTCCAGAGGACTGTTTGGGTTCAGAGTTACCGTTTGATCATCTGTTTAACGCAAGGTGTAAAAGGTCAAATTGAGAGGTCAAGGGGTCATTAGCCACAGTCGACATACAAACATTACAGCTGTATGGTCCAGTAGACCTCAGATCTGCTTTTGTCCTGGCAGTGGTAAAAGACAATGACAAAGCTATGTTGTGTAGCAGGATGCTAGCAGCATTTATCAAGGTGTGTCTTTCCACCGATGAACTCCAGATGTTCCAGGGATCACGCTATGTTTATTGTTGTTGTTCCAAATGGAGACATGAGCTGCCAGCACATACTGCTTACTCCCTTCATAGTAGACAGCAAATATCCTGTTTTGCTGTTAGCAAGCAAGCTTAGAGCTTTGTCAAGGTGGACAAATAAAAGCTCTGGGAAGCTCTAACTGTCAATCAGTTGATGAGTTGTATGCTCTATTGTACATTTTCCACTCATGGGAGCATAACTGACCTGCAGGTGGATTGTCATCATCCATCCTTTCATTATTTTCCCACAGTTTTTGTTTCAATCTGTTCATGTTGCAATTTTTTCACCAGTATAGTCGTCCCCAGTGGAACATTTCTAGTATTTCCTTCTTGGTCTCTCTTGTAGAACCAGATGGTCATGTGAGTTCGTTATGGTCAGTCTGTAGTCCAGACATGTGACAGTGTCTACTGGATCATGTGGAAACTTCACTTCAGTGGTAGAGAGTTCACTGAAGCACACAGGGATCCAAAGGTTTACCAGAGAACAGTTGTGTATTTTCTGGAAGTTTGACTCAGCAGTTGGCAGGGGTCATTTCCAGAGTGTGTGGAGCAACATTCTCAGACGTTTTTATTCTTATATACAAACCCCTGTGGAGAGTCAGAGAAACGCGTTCAAGCTTCAGCTCAGGTCTGAAGCAGCCTTTTTGACAAGTTTGATTTATGGCCTTTTTGTCAGACATTGGCTGCCATATCTGACAGACCCTCCAGTGTTGTTCATGTTATCTCCAACACCTGTGAGTTTCTCACTGTGACATGACAGCATGTCTGCTGAGAGTTTTCCAAATACAGCAGCAACTTCCTGTTTGACTGTTAGGATGAACTGCTTCACTCTGACTCAGTCCCACCTGCTGTAACTGTAACTGTGACGCTGGTGTGTCTGTGTGTGTATGTGTTTTCCTATTTCTTTAAAATATTTTTCTGGGGAATTTTGTTTTCTTGTATTTTTTCACCAAAAATTTGCATTTTATAAAAAAAAAAAAACTCTTTCTGTCAAAGTTTAATCTATAATCAAATATAATTTAACAAAAAGGTCATTCGGTGGGCTTTTTGAATTTTGCAATTATTCTTTGTCAGATCTTTACATTTACATCTGTAAAATATAAACTGTGTTTATGCTATATTTATTAAACTGTTAACTGAAAACGTGTACTTAACTTATTGGATTATTAGGCTTGTCCTTTCTGCATAGTTTAAAGTGATAAAATCAGTCAAATTATTAGAGGCTTGATTAAAATGAACAATTAAAAAAACAGGAAAAGTTGTCAGAAATGACTAGTTTAACCCTGTGATGGTAATGATAATGGTAACACATTAAAAGAAAAGTTACAAGTAAATAGAAATGATGTTAAAAACAAAAAAAGAGCAAAAATCCCCATGAACATATTTTATAGGTCCAAAAATCCCCGGCTAAAACAGTTCCTTCCTTCTGACAAGAGGTTCAACGTCTGTGACTACATGATAGAAGTCAGAAATAGACGATGCCGTGTAGCCCTCTAAATCTTGAGTGCATGGTATTTTTCGTCGGCAACAATGCAAAGAACAAAACCAAAAACAAAACCAGCGTTCAATTTTCCCAAACCTCCCAGAGAGAAAACAAATCTCCGTCGGTGAAAAAAAAAAGAACTCTCTCAGGGCTCCGGCCTTCTGGAAGGCTGAAATAACTTTGGCTCCCAGAAATAGCTGAACGAACGATGAGACAGCAGCAGCTCCGCAGGGTTTTGTAGGTCCACATGTCTGTACGGGAGCAGGGCTTTCCATGTCGGTTCAAAAACAGACTTACAAAATCCCCATGGTGCACTGGGGTCACGCTTGTCTGTTGTAAACCCACACATCCATCCTCGGAGACATTCACAGTGATGTTCTCACGTGCTGGACCAGAGTGTGGCCTGTGTGTTTTCACAACCTCTTTCTAACAGTAAGAGTGCATGTGGTACATTGTGAGTGTGTGTGTCCATGTGTGTGTGTTTTGTTTTGTTAAGGCCACTAAAAGGACCTGTGGCGACAGAAATTAGACGCTGATGGTTTGTCGAGTTGACCACATCACCTCAGCCTTCAGCTCCTCTAATCTTCCTGAAGTTTGGACAGTCTTTGTGTGTGGTGTGTGTTGTTGTAGCAGGGAGACTACACGTACTCCTCTGTCCCCCGTCTCCTCCTCTCAGTCAGCAAGTCTGGGACCCGAAGGAAAAAGCCAATTATATTAAAAAAATCTCTCTCCATCTTTGTTTTGTGGGCATAAACCACTTCTTTGCTTTTTTGTTGTCATTCTTTCCCCTTCTTTGGCTTTCTGACATTCCTCGTCCATTCCCACCATCCCAGAATCCCCCACTCCGTGCTGTTACTCACGCTCAGGCACACATGGAAGTTCTACTCTGCTGGCCCATGCCAACTCCCTCTGACATTGCGAGCGACAGTTCCCAACGTCTTAAAATAGACGCCACGTTTCCTGGCCACTCATCAGCTCCACATCTTATCACACTTCGGAATAATTTGGGAGAGGCTGTAATACCTGCTTTATCTCACATATGAAATGAGTCAGAGCGTGCTGTGCTGATGAAAGTGAGTGTCAACATCTTCATGAGCCTGGTGCAAAACGATGACGTCTGAACCGACTGGAAGATTCCAATACAGACAGTTATGTGGAAGCTAAAAAGACATGTTCCAATACCAGGAACTGCTCCATGTGAACCTGATGTGAAACATTCAAAGACAACTGTCAATGGAGGCTGAGGGGGGGAACCATAA